AGGTCCTTCTTCCCTCAGGCATGCCGCCATATTCCCCTGCATGGCTCAATGAGTAAAGAATAGCCAAAGGCCATTGAAATCACCCAAAAAAGTCCAAATTCCGTTCGAAGAGCCAGCGAAATCATCCGTAGAAGCGTGAAATCGCGTCAAAGAACGTGAAAACGATTTCTAAATAGAAGACGAGTGTTGCCACATCTTAGAGGAGCCGTATATTTTGTCCGTCGAGAAGGTTATGGGGAAATTTTACGTATGAAACTTTCTCAGTTATGCATTTTAACGTCTCAAATTACTTGTTACGTGTGTGTGAGCAGATTCTTCGAAGAAACTTTTTCCCGCATTTCATTGCAAGCTTTTTCAGGAGCTACAGAATTGAGGTGAATGGCGGTACAGTACAAAACGAAGCCACCGAGTGACGAATGCAAATGGATCTGCATCTATCCGTTGTATTTGAATTCACGCAAAACCATTGCCCAGGGGCGACGTGTCGCCAAATCGAAGGTTCCATCAACAATTTCACTTAATTACATTTAGCATGCCTCATTTTATTTCATACTTACATGAGTTTCGCTTGAACGGCCCCATGAAATTGTGTGAAATGAGAGAAGCTCAAAATAGAGAAGAATGGAGAAGCTGCCAGCTGCGCCGTCAATGGCGAGAAGGAATGCGACGATGAAACAAATCAACTGATTAGAGTGAAATTTACCCGCATAACGACGGCTGAAGTAGACATGTTTGGCAATTTACTCTGTCTCATTAATCTTAGCGATTATCTGAACATTTATGATGAAACTAAGTTACGTGAGATTCTTTGCTTAACCTTCAAAAATTATTTGAATTTGAATAACACAATTTTTACGGTATTTGTTTGAAACCCTTATTGATAGTGAAAAAAACCCTTTTCTGGATGAGCTGAGCAGGTCCAGAACCGCAGATTTTGTTCAGGAAATCCAGGATCGTTCGCAAAAAATGACACCGCAGTCTGGGAATATCTACTTTTTCAGTTCGTTTCAGAAGTTAAGACTCCAAGTTCTTTCTTGAAATTGAGATATTTGAGGCAGTGGATTCGCCGACAGCGCAAGAAATCTACGATATTTTGACGAATGCCGGCATGAAAGCTAAAATTGAGGTAAGCTCATCGTTTTTTCCAGTAATAATGCTCCAATGTGGTATAATAAAGGCTCAGAATCTTTCCTTTCTTCCCCTCAGATATTTCGTTTTTTAAATTTTTTTGAAACCAGCTTCTGTATTTTTCTGCTCGGTTGTAACTGTAAGTGATGCTGGACTTGCGACGGAGGGCAGCATCTATCAATTTTGACTCTTTTTTTGTTTTTCTCCTTCTATTTCCTCATTATTTTTTGTGAAAACCTCTTCACTTATATTGTTTTTTTAGCATTTTTTAGGCAAGTCGTTGCTTTTTAAATAAAGTCCAGTTAATTTTCTTTGCGGAATTTCGCCTCATCTCAAGTCGCTTTTGTTCTGCTCGGGCCAAATTCTACATTATTTTTGCTTTTTTGTTAGTTTTTTCACTTGGTTTTCTAGTTACCCATACGTATAGTTTGGGTGTTTTGTTATGTTGCGGACGGAGTATCGGTTTCTGCTCCTGGAAACATAACGGAAACTTAAGTTCACCTTTTTTCTGTCTTATTTTACCTGCAATTTGCTGAAGGCATAACTCGAAATTAAGTTCGCCTTTTTTTTTCTTCTCTGATTTTACATGTTCAGAAGAAGATGCACCCGTTGGATCCGAATCGCGATGCGAATGCGCAGGGTCGAGTGCGTGTGCAACTGCTCAACGACGATGGATCGCCTTGCAATATTAAATTCCCAACGAGTAAATTTTCCAAATGTTTTGCGGCAGCCTGTTGTTAATTGCGCTTAAGAATGTCAAAATCGCCAGTAGGTGACCACCAGGGGAAGCAGCGCGTTGGTCAAAGTAATTGGAAAAATTGCCAGTCGCATAGTTGAAGAAATGAACGTGAACTGCATGTTATGAGTAAGAATGAAAATGCAAAAGCGTACAAGGTCGATATTCTCTGCAGTATAGATATTAGGTAAATCTTCGTACATTTTTCATGCACATTCAGATTTGTTGCCTGTCAAGCCAGAATGCTTTTTGGGCATTTTATCGTTAGCCTTGAATACGATGAAAACACTAGTATTGGCTTGTAACTCCCTTGGACCTCAAACTACAATCCTAAGAAAATGGAACTCAGACTTCGCACAATTTGTTCTCTTAAGATAATTTCGTTTGTGCTTACAAATGAAACCACTTGAACGGAACGGGTGAAAGGTTAATTCAGTGAGGGCTGGTTGTAATACGAAGTCAAAAGTTGGAGATCTAAATGCCACTTTCAGTTTTTCATTAATTATCAGAATTCGATTGTGTTCCTCACCACGGTGGGTCGACAATGCCAAAAAAACTGCATATTTTAACACATAGACGCGATTTCAGTCCCCCGTTCTCTTCCAGTCTCCTTGCCAAGAATCTTTTTTTCTACACTTGGGATGCAGAGGAAGGTACAGAGCTGTGCAAAAAGCCCTTTTGCGTCAATCCTTTGCTGCATAAGCATTGTTATTTATCCTCAATTTAAACCAACAAGCTCTGAGATGGACAAACGTAAAAACAGTAAGATTGTGGTTTTGACACTACCTCTTCAGCAACCATGCCGCTCCATTTCAGGAATGTCTCTGATGTTATATGCGTGCGAGATGATCCCGAAACTGAAGTCACGTCAGGCTGGTGGCGGTGCAACATCCCAAACTACTGTGACCGGTAATAGCAGTGTCACCGGTGGCACTGGCGGAGGTGGTGGTAAAGCAAATAAAAAGAAGAAGCGATAGCGGATTTCTTGTTTTTAGTATTATTATTGTGGGCAACTTCGTTTTGCGGCAGATATGAACGGTGCCTAAAATGAGGTAATTGTTGCCTGACAAAAGGGAAATATGAATGATGAAATTTCAAGTAACTTGTGGAGAACTTCTTGGTCAAGAAAAATATTGCTGAGGCGAACTGCGTTCAAGAATTCTTCAGTACCGCTCAGCTTACAGCAGATTTATCGCAAATCTTTGTAAGGTGATTGTAGCATCCAGGTTGACCTTGAATGCCGAAGTGTTGAAGGCGCACTGAATACTGAAAGCAGGAATAGTATGAGGGAAGGAGGCAATAATGAGATAAGACGTTTTTGTATGTTTTCTTTTTCCCCTTGTCTTTCTTGCTGAATTTCCTTGTTTAGAAATCGTACTTGGATAATTAATTGTATCAGTTGTTAATACATATTCTGGATTCTTCAGCTACGTAGCTCACAATTTCTTCAATTGCCTTTGCCCATTGCCGCTTCGTTTGGGATAGTTTGTTGGGAATCCATCCTTTCATTCGTCTAAATTCATACATATCGTGATACTCTGATGTAGTTTATGAAGGTGAAATTTATAGGTTACATGCTGTTGATATTTCTTTATTTTCGTTTTGTTGATTTCAAGTTTTGTGTTTTTTCCAATTGTTATACCTTGTGTGCACGCTTTTATGGTGTGGTTTTGTGCCGTTTCAGGCTTCTAATTTTTAAGGATAATAAGGCAATCCCGGTTACGAATGGAATTTCCCATTCATCAGTGCATTGTGAGATGCTTGAATGATCACTCTGAAGACCCTTAACGAAATGTTTGTTTTTTTACAAATTGTTGATCGGGGACGAAACCGGGATTCAGTACCAGTTGATTGGGGATATTATTTGTTGGTTTTCTTCCTGTGTGTA